CTGGGGGCACTGGGTAATACCAGTCATGTCCATTCCTTTCACCTCCACCTCAACTCCCAAGATGGTCCCAACTCAGTGGCTTCTTCACCCTTGCCACTGTCCTTGGCTGGGTTCTGCCTTCAGATCCACCTGACTTACTGCCATCAATTTCAGGGCTGGATCAACCAAAGAGTCAGTCTGGCTTATGAAAAGAAAGGAAGAGAGGCAGAGAATCTCTACAGGCCAGAGCTTAATTCCTTCTTTTCACTCCAGGTCATAGGGCCTTGTCAGTTCCTGCATTCACAATAATAATTAGGCCGGTTGCAGTGGCTCACACCTGTAATCCCAGCACTTTGGGAGGCCGAGGTAGGCAGATCACCTGAGGTCAGGAGTTCAACACCAGCCTGACCAACATGGAGAAACCCCGTCTCTACTAAAAATACAAAATTAGCCAGGCATGGTTGTGCATGACTGTAATCCCAACTACTTGGGAGGCTGAGGCAGGAGAATCGCTTGAACCCAGGAGGCAGAGGTTGTGATGAGCCAAGATCACACCATTGCACTCCAGCCTGGGTAACAAGAGTGAAACTCTGTCTCAATAATAATAATAATAATTATTATTATTATTATTATTAAACTTACTATGAGCCTGGCATTGTGATACATGCTGAGGATACCAAAATACAAATAACCATGGTCTGTGCCTTCAGGGAACTTGTATGCTAATCAAGGAAATGAACAAATAACTAGGCAATCACAGTATTAAAAAAGAGTGGCTAGAGAGGAGACTGGAGAGGCAGGGCCAGACACAAAGGAAGGGATGGCTTTCTTAGGAGTTTGGCCTTTACCCTGATTATTGGAGTAGGTGCTGAACTCGATCAGATTTGCTGTAGTATATAATACTCTCGGCAACCAAGGTTAGATTTGAGAAGACAGGGATACCAATTAGAAAGCCAGTATAGGCCAGGTGCAGTGGCTCATGCCTGTAATCCCAGCACTTTGGGAGGCCGAGGCGGGCGGATCATGAGGTCAGGAGTTCAAGACCAGCCTGGGCAACATAGTGAAAATCCATCTCTACTAAAAAATACAAAAATTAACCGAGCATGGTGGTGCACACCTATAGTCCCAGCCACTCAGGAGGAAGGAGGATCGCTTGAACCTGGGAGGTGGAGGTTGCAGTAAGCTGAGATTGAGCCACTGCACTCCAACCTGGGTGACAGAGCAAGACTCCATCTCAAAA